TTTTCTCTCCTTTCCCTTCCTTTCCTTTAAATTAATTTTAAATTGCAATTTTCTTTTCTTTTCTTTTACTTCCTTTCTATTCATTTTTTTCTTTATCTCTCTCTATTACTACCCTTACCTTTCAATCCTTAGACAACCCTTAATATCCCATCCTTGTATGTATGAACCAGTTCCAAAACTTTTCCTAAAAAAATATTTCGAAAATAATAATTAAAGTTATCAAAATTGATTCATAAGTTATTTTCAATATTCCTTAACCATTAAATAACCCAGCAATCTTTATTTTTTATAATCGACTTTTTTTTAAATGAATTAAGTTCAGGTCACGTGATATCATTTATACCAAATAAGGCAAACTATTACGTCATAAACACGTGCTATACTTACATGACGTCATTTGCTGAAAATTTACACTACTCTTGTTTTATTCATCAATTCGAAATCAAGATTTCTGGAATAATATTTCCTAACTGCAATATTTAATCTATCTATATTGGACTGGCAAGGGAGTCCATATCTAAAAACCAAGTAATAAATCTTAAACATCATTTTTTYCCACAATTGATAATTGGTCGATATCTAGTGTGTAAACTTCGACAACACGAAACGAAAAGTCATATTTTGTCCTCTCATAATGTGTCCAAGGTAAATATTGACAAAAAAGGAACAAATACTAGAATAAAAAAGTAACAAGTTGTAATATTCAGAAAGTAATTTTTGTCTTAAAAAAGGTGTTTAAAAATTTAATAGTTGAGGCGTCGATGATGAGTTTGACGTAATATTTTGTTTTGTTTTTCGAGTGACAATAGAGCCGAGAAGTGATGATATAAAGAGCCAGTATCTAGGAGATAGGTGTTTGTCATAAAAGTGAGGCTTTTTAATGAAATGCAAACAATCCATTATAATAAAAGTAACAGAAATCGTTCCATGCGAGAAGTTGATTTAAACACTGCAAGAAACGAGTTGAATTCAGTTTCAAAAGCTAACGCTCAGAATCCAACTGAATTTTTCCTAATTGGAGAATGTTTCAATCTAGKTTTTGTAGGATTTTAGCTTTTTTTGTGATCTCTGTTGCTGTAAGGAAGAGTTTCGCAGACTTTTATCCACAGGTTTATCATAATCTAATGAATCCCCAAGGGATTTTCAGTGTTAGATTTAACCTCGACTGGCTATCGTGCATCGAGATTTGCTTGAAAACAGATTCCTGTTTTTCGTACAACTACGACCTTAGTGGAAATCAAAATCACACTTGTGAACTCAGCAAATGTGCTAGCACCTCTACTGAGAGGTGCTCTAACAAAGAACTTCGTTTTTCCAGAGGTTTTGTTTATCAACAGTTGAAAGAAAAACAAAATAAGGTGAGTTGATASSAAACTTTGRAAAAATAATGACTTTAAATCGTACRARACTGAACRAAAACTGAAGTTAATTCAAAATGTCTATTAGATCTATTAAAAGTAAATTTCTCGTAAACTAGTAAGCGGGTAGGAATATGAAAAACGAGAAAAAGAAAGAAAGAGAAAAACTAARTGAGTATAGACTGACAAAGAGACTATAGATAAAAGAATATAGATRAAAGAAACAAAAGAAAGATAGATAATATAGATAAAAGGAATAAAATTAGAAACACAAACTAAGGAGAACGAGGGGAAAAGAAGAGAAAAAGGAAGAAAATTACATCAACGTCATCGTCGCTTTTTCCACACACTAAAATGGATATTTCACCACCTCGCTTGCCCAGCGCGCGCAATTTTACTTTTACAATATAATCTATGAATTTCTGTTCGTTAATGATGACGAAATTGGTACCATTTCAATATTAAAGTCAAATTCATCACCTAGAAATTCAGAAATAAATACACCATAAATAGTAGCTAAATTTTTTAATATTTAATTGGAAAATGTAAATATTTATATTTATCTGTCTTTTCTATTGAAATGTTTATTTTCTCGATAAAAATGATGAAACTTTAAATCTAATGTGTTGGTAGTTTTAGAGCAAAATTCGACAACACTAGCTAGATTCAGATTTTTTAAAATTTATGTCGTAATATATGTCTTCGTCTAATAGCTAATTAATTTTTTAAGTTCAAACAGGCCAAAAATATACCTATACTCAAGATCACTATCGGAAGAACTCTCTCAAAATATTGMATTACAATATTTTTGTTTATTTCTTACTCCAAACCCATTAATTAGCAGGCGTGTGCCTTACAGCTAGAGTTTGATAATTAAGAAAAATATTTTTTCTCTCCGTTCGTTTGCTTATTTCAAAAGAATTTATAATTCTTATCTTTCAAAGATGAATGTATTGTTGTAGAATATATATAATAGTCACATCAATATTACGAAAGGCCAAAAATTGAATACAGTATGACATCATATTTATATTTATCTATCCGACTATTTTTTTCTTATATTCTGAATTGCTTGTGGCAAATTTCACTTACATGAAATCTTTCTCCCTGAGGTGATTCATTAATGTCATCCTTCTCCCTGAGGTG